GGGGGGGGCGGACCCGCAGCCGTGCGGTTGGCGGGCCCTCCCTTGCCTGGCAGCCGCGGCGGCCAATGGGGTCGGGGCGACGCGGGAACGCCACGGCGCGGAGGAAGTGCTGCCTGCGCGGGTTAAGGTGGCTCGGGGGGGAGATCGGGGCTCCTGGGGCGTCCTTCGGGGGGAAGGGAGCTGCGGGCTCCCGGGCTGCAGTTCTGCTATTCGCTATCCTTCCTTGGGGTTCGGTGTCGCTTCCCTCTGGCTGCTGTGTGCCTCGCTCCTGCCTCGGGAGTGCTCCTGTGTCACGAGGCATGCGCTGCTCTGGTGGCGTTTTCCTGCAGTGGCACCGCGTTTGAATGCACGAGTAGCTCTCCGACAGATATACATATATATATATATATATGACAGATATATATATATGTGTATATATATATATATATATAAACTATATTCGTCCATGTGATAAATACACACTTAACTATCAGTTTTGTGTGAACTTGGACAAACAGCTGCCTCTCACGAGTTGTGTGCTTCACTGTTGATAGTTTTAAGTGTTCTGCAAAACACTGAAAACACCTAATCTCATAGGGCTTTGGCAGGGGGAGATGTGTTTGAGGGTGGTTTTCTGCCTTTCTGTCTTTTGTAAACTTCCCCTGCAGGCATGTGATTTGAAGGTAAGGTGCTTTTGGATATGTGAAAATCATAAGATTTGGTTATTTGATTTTTTTTTTTTAAATTTGGAGATTTGAATTATATGGGAAGTAACCCATGAAGTCAGTGGGCGATAACTTTCCATAGGAGATTCTGTGTGGCCTACCAGGTGGTAAATGAAAGGCAGGAACTGCTGGTCATCTTAGATTCACTTTGCTTCTGCTACAGCCAAAGTGGGAGCAATGGCCTCTCTTCACTTCCATCCCCCCTTCCCTGGCTGCTCTCTTTCAATTACTGTAAGCGCCCGACATCTCCCTTGGCCTCGCTCGGCAGAGTGGAACTGAACTTCCGTAAGTGAAGGCTTCCACTCTTCCCTTTCCTTGCTCCCACCCTCCACAAAATGACTCTTCTCCATGGGACAGTTTTCCTTAGGTACAAGGAAGAGTCTGTCTGTGGAGTTCTGCAGCTCCCTCTGCGTAAAGAAGTATTTGCCTCCGTCGTAATCTGCTGTTTTTTCTCCTTTCTGCTTCTGCCAATCCCAGTGTGTGTGTTGGAAGTGAGGCAGGATCTGAGCAGCCGCTCTGGGCAATTGGCCTTTCCAGGTCTGTAGAGTCTTGGTCTCCCCGCGGTGCTCGGGGTGAGAGGCGTGTGGACATGGGAGCCTAAAGGGCGGCTGTGGAGGCCTCGAGCCCTTTTGCTGGAGTTGCCTTGGGAAGTGCTTTACCTTGAACGCTTGGCCTCTCCCCAGAGCTTCCTCGGCAGCAGCTGCAGCTGCTGCGTGTACCTGCCCCAGCACGGAGCTCCTGTCTGACTGCACCTGAGAATCGCCGCAACCACCCCGGCACTGCAGTTACCTAGCGGGGGCCTGTCACGTTATAAACCTGGGATTTGCGCACCTCTCACGAGACCGGCAGAGAGCAGTTCACCTTGCGGGGGGAGAGGTGAACTGGGTGAATTGGATGTTCCTGCTCTTGGGTGTGACAGCGCTTCAAATCCCTGGCAATTCCTGGGTACGCCAAAATGGGACGTGCTGTCTCAGTGCATCCTTGCTTAAAGGAAGTAAATATCTTGTGTTAAATAAATACGTGTCTTAAATTTTAAAACTTTAAAAAACGTTTTTCTGTCAAATGCATTTGTAGAGTTGCATGAAATAGTTGTATGAAGAGTCTGACATGCTGCTGAGATACTGTTGGGCAGTTAGCTGTGAGACCGTTGCATCCATGTGTTACCTGTTTTGAGGAAGATGGGTCTTTTGCTTAATCTGTAGAAGAAAGAAATACTCTTTGGTGTGCTGACTATAACTTCAGCTGATCTCTGTGTATAAACAAGGCCAGGCTTTACTTTAACCCCAGTATGTCCTACCTGCCAGCTAAAATCAGGCAAACGGTTCTGTGTGCCTGTTGTAGTCTACTAAGAAATCTAGCTAGTTGCATTTGTATGCTAACTGGGCTGTGCGTCGTATTTGGCTGTGCATCGTATTTCCCCGAGTGGCACAGTGTTCTCAATCTGCTAACGTGTCTTTTGTAGACCAGTCCTTTTACCATGGAAGCTGAAGAAACAATGGAATGTATCCAGGAGTTCCCAGAACATTATAAAGTTATTTTGGATAGACTGAATGAACAGCGTGAGCAGGACCAGTTTACAGACATCACTCTGATTGTGGATGGTACGTGCAGGTCTGCGAATCAGTGGGCATCCAGAGAACTTGTGAAGCTGTGAGCTGGGAAGCTGTTAAACTGAGCTGGTTTAAAACAGACCCAAGGAAAAAAAAAAAAACCCCTCCTATCTCCTGGTTGTGTTCAGCTCTGCAAGTTGCATGCAGGCTTCTTTCTTTACTCCCAGAACCTTGGAGTGAACAGAGTCTGTAGGTGGTTATAGCCAAGTTCTGCTTTTCTAAACAAGGGGCCAAGTATTTTCAGATAGAAGCCTGCTTTGAAAGTGCTGTACTATATTTAAAATGTTGTCTAAGTATTTCTAAAACATTATTAGAATATTTCTCCCTAGCTTGAGCCAACCACTTACATGCAGATAACTTGTACAAACCTTTTGTTTCTTTATATTTAGATTTTTTTTATTAGATTACTTACTCCTCAGGCATCTGCTCACCGTTTTAATGTAGAATTAAATAGTGTACTGGAATTCAACTTTCTTTTTCTATATGTTCTGTAGACATATGTATAAGCTTGATGAACACTTGGATCTTCTGTCTCACTCCTTGTAAGAAAAGGAGGTGTTTAACGTATCACATAAGGCTATTTCTTATCTTATTCTGAAGATGTCTTAGAATGCATGAGTCCTTCAAGGAGCCATAGGCAGTGTCCACAGGACAGATTTAGCTGGAGTAAAACCAGGTGACTCTCAAAAGGATAGTGAGAGCTTGCTTGGGGGAAGAAGGTCCTAGATTATGAACAGGGAAATAAACCAGGGAAAGATTACTCTTCTGGAATCCTGCACCATAGTTCCAGTAGCAGAGCTTGCTCAAAACTTTGCATGTTTGCTCCTGCTGTAGCATTAGCAAATATTTGGGATGAGCAAAACCATTTTTTGTGTGGCTCTAAATGAGGCTGTTTCTCATATTTCTTCCCTGTGGAGCGTTATGAAGGTTCATGTCTGTGTAGGGGAAGGCAGCACAGCAAAGGGGAACACGCAGCGCGGGGAGCAGGAAGGACAGAGTAGAACTGCAGGGGTGTCTGGGCTGCCTGAATGGTGGTGAAATATATTGGTCTCTAAGTACAGTAGAAATAGAGGACAACTTGGATAAAACAAGGCGGGAGGTTCTTCCAGGAATTTCCTATAACTTAAATATCTGAAAAGAGAGACTCTGCAGTGAGGTTAGTCCAGCTGATTGGGTTGCAGAGCTTCAGCAAGGGCAGTGATGTGAGCAAGGTTCTGCACAAGAAAGGACAGACTATCTGCACTAGTATCCCACGTTGCAAGGAGCTGTACCATGTCACTCTGTGCTTCTAGAATGAATTTATAGCCTAGTTCTGTAACTGTTTTGTCTTCTGCAGCTATTTTGCATCTTTGATTATCCTTTACTGTGAATAAGGAGGGTATTATCCTAAACTGAAATTTTATGTCTTTCTTTCTAGGTCACCATTTCAAAGCTCATAAGGCAGTTCTTGCTGCCTGTAGCCAGTTCTTCTACAAATTCTTTCAAGACTTCACTCAGGAGCCTTTGGTGGAGATAGAAGGTAATCTGGATTCATGCAAATAACCTTTATGGTTCTGTTTTCAGGCTGGAAACTAGTGCAGTTTTGCTGGCACAGACTAATGTGCATGGTTGGTAGCAAAGTCAGCTCTCTGATTATCAGTTTCTGAGTTGTCCTGAGGCAGCCCCCCCTTCCCCCCCTTTCATCATCTTGGTGGCCCGACTCTACAGACTTGCCCGATTTCTATGTTTCTATAATAGATTTCTTAATCCAAAGTGATCTTTCAAGAATGTCAGCTTTGTGAAATGGGCAACCAAAGTGTCATGAGCATAATGTTGGGCAGGCAAGAGTGCAAGACTTGTCAAGCAGATATGACTGGGAATTGCTAACTGAAACTGTGTTTTTTTTTTGTTTGTTTGTTTGTTTTTTTTTTGTTTTTTCTTCCCCCTGATTCTGAACAGGTGTAAGTAACATGGCATTTCGTCACCTAATTGAGTTCACCTATACAGCGAAACTAATGGTCCAAGGTGAGGAAGAGGCAAATGATGTTTGGAAAGCAGCTGAGTATCTACAGATGTTAGAAGCAATCAAAGCACTTGAAATCAGGTAAATTCAGGGGTTTGCCTGTCTTCCTAAACACTGAAATGCCAGGTCAGGAATCTTTTTACCGGAGTGGCTGCCAGCATTTTGCAGCACTGTTCCTTATCCTGGAGCATCCTGAACTTCTGTGGGATCATCTGCAGTAAGGTCCGAGTAGGAATTATAAAGCTTAAAAGATCAATGTTACGTTTTTTTTGGACGGAACTCAATGGCAAGTGACATGGCTGGCAGATATTGCAGGTATTGTAGGCAGTGACTTTGTGGTGACTTTTCCTTCCCTTTTCTTGGATAGAGAGCTTGGACAGAGCTTTTCAGTTAGCTTGAGAATCCAAAGTTTCTTGGATAAACCTATGACATTAGGCTAACTGGTCTTTCTTTTTAAGCTTAACTTAATCTTGTAGGTAGAGTTTTGAAAACATTTCTGATGCTTTCATGTCAGAAACTCCATGTCTTTAACCATGGTATTTTTACAGCTGTAAGGAATATGGATTAGGACAGTTAGCCTTCTGAAATGCATGCAGATTATGTGGTCTTCCATCATCCAGCTCCTTTGAGAATGAGCTTTAAAGTGTTTAATGCAGAAGTTCAATATTGGGCAGGAATTCTTGGGTAAGTGCTGGTGGAACTTAACCATTTTTATGCAAATGCTTTGCAGGAACAAAGAAAATTCATCACCTCTAGAATCAAATCAAACACAAGGTAAAAATAAACCAAAAAAGAGGAAGATAGCTGAAACCTCTAATGTTATCACAGAAATGTTGCCATCTGCAGAATCAGAGCCTGTTGAAATTGAGGTTGAGATTGTCCCTTCAGCAATCGAAGTGGAAGATGACAGCATGGAAATGCTTGAAGAAGTGGCTTCTGCAGAGCAATCCATAAAGTACATCCAGACCACTGGTACGTCAGACGAATCGGCGTTGGCTCTTTTAGCAGATATCACCAGCAAGTATCGTCAGGGAGAGAGAAAATGCCAGATCCAAGAAGAAGGTGACAATGCAACTGATCCCTCGTGCAAACAGGTAGAAGGTATTGAAATTGTGGAACTTCAGCTGTCACACGTGAACAATTTATTCCACTGTGAGAAATGTAACCGTTCGTTTAAATTGTTTTACCATTTTAAGGAACACATGAAAACACACTCTACTGAGAGTTACAAGTGTGACATATGCAATAAAAGGTACCTACGAGAGAGTGCTTTGAAACAGCACCTCACCTGTTACCACCTTGATGAAGGTGGCGCCAGCAAGAAGCAGAGACCTGGCAAAAAAATACATATATGCCAGTACTGTGATAAACAGTTTGACCATTTTGGACACTTTAAGGAGCACCTTCGGAAGCACACAGGTAAGAGCACAGTTCTGCACTTGTGCTTTTGGCTCCTGTACTTAGCATGTTTTGATGAAGTAGAGAATATGCTGAAGGGAGGGAGACACGAGAGCATTATTGGTGCTATTTGCCTTCTAGCTAAGCTTAAATGTTGATTACTTCCCCCTGCCTCCATATAAATTGTGAGGAATAGATGTCGTGGCTTTTTTTTTGATTTTATATTTTAAGCTGTTTAAGCAATTATATATATTTTTTTGCGTTGAAATGAGTTCTGAATTGTGAGTTTATTAATGCAATGCAGTTTGGAGGATTTATGAGCAAACACTTATCAACGCACTGGGCATAAATTACCCCCCTTACAACTTTCTCTTGAACCAGCTTGTTTGAAACTTTCATTATTGCTCTGGATATCTCCCGTACATTTTTTTGGTTTGTTCATTTGTTAATTATCACAGCAAAATGTTTCCATCAACTGTAGTAGACTTGTTATTATAAAATCTGCCTCTTTAGAATCTGGATTGCATCTTTTGAGTACAAAATGACTCATGTTTCTTCCTTCTTTATAGTATGGGAGGTTAACATGCTACTTCATCTTATTTAAAATTTGTACTGTCTCTACAGGTAATGAGCATTTATAAAAGTAGCTGAATATAATATACATGTGGGTCCTGATTCTCCAGATGTTCTTTGTCTGTCACGAGTTGTCAGGAAGACGTTAATGGAGGAGAGCAGCCTGTTCTTTTGCAGTTTTAGTTGTAAAAGGCTCCTAATGAGAACTTCTTTTCATCTGTGTATAGGACTCCTGGGTGTTGATATATGGCACTGTATCCTATCCCAAATGCCGCTTCAAAGTAGCTGCTTTAAAAAGGCTTTAAAAATCCCCTACAGAGGAGGGAGTGTTTATCTGTATCAACCAAACCAAGTTAAGGTACTTGGAGAAGTCTTTTCAGAGACAAGTTTGGAGTAGATTATCAGCATAACCCTGATATTGGCACATATTGGTTCCTGTTGCAGCGAAGGGTTCTGGGGGCAGACCAACATAGCTCCTCGCTGGAAATGCAGGGGAGGGAGGAAAAAAAACTCCCGTTGAACTGAAAGCTTTCAGAGTTCTGAATTCTGTGTAGCGCTGGTTCAAAACCAAAGTAAAACTAAAAGGCCAAGGATAAAATCTCCTACGGTGTGTGTGAGATCATCTTGCTGCTTATTTATAAGACCAGCAATAAACTGAAAAGTAGCAAATGATGAAGAAATGGCAGAAAAAAGGCAGTAGATCAGTGTGGGTAACGGCGTTGGTTATGTTTTGACATGGCTGCTGTTGTTTTTCTCTTGTCTCAATAGAGGAAAGCAGAAGCTGGAATTTCCCGCACGCAGAGCCTTGAGGAGCTTCTGGCACTCATAGGCTCTGTGTGAGAGCAGAATAAATCTGTCCCTGGCCAGACAGTGTCTTGCTCCAAAACAAATTGCCTTGAATGGCACATACTACTTTTCAGAGTTAACAGCATCATCTCCACAGCTTATAAAGGAGGAGGCTTTTTGGCCTGATCTCGTGATTATCTTTTTTCCTCATTATGTGAATGAATGAATGAATGAGATTTCACTTGAAATCATAAGGAACTCACAGGAGGACAAATTCTGCAAGGCTGCGTTTAGTGTATATCTATTGAAGTCAATATCTCTAGTTTAATCTTACACAAAAACAATTTACTTGTATAAAAGATAATCTTAAGATGAAGCTACCACTCTGAATATGCTTTTCTAATCTTGGTATTTTACAAAGCTTGTATCCCCTAGCAGAAAGTCAAATCGGGGAGAATTTGAGTTGTTCAGTGTCTCTTTCATTGCCAAATAAATCAAAAATATCTGGTTTTGAGATGATGTATAGGTAGATAGGTGGAGTGATAGGTATGATAGATAGGTACCCTCTTTATGAGGGTGTGGGTACTCACATGAGCAAAGATGGAATTGAAGGAGTTTCTGTTCCAAGGTGCCAAGCCAATAACTCCGTAACTGAACTGATCTATATACAAGATAAAATAAACTTAGGGAAATTTAATCAAGGTAAAAGTTTTATGGGGAGTATTCTTCAAACTGCCATTAACATCATCCATAGAAGTAAATAAATAGACATATAAATGGTTTGCATACCTAGAATAAATGCTACCAAGGAGCTCCTTTGGGAAAAAAAAATAGCTGGGTTTACTATTATCTCTCTCAACCCAATTTAAATACTGATACTGTATCTTTATGGTACTGGATGAATTGGTTGGTGTTTCCTGCATATTGGGCAAACAAAAATCATTGTGTGTGCTCTTAAAGAACAACTCTGATTTTTTTTTTTTGGGGG